TTGCTGGGGCTCTGTCCCGTCTCGGGGTCCCAGCGGCTCCTCTGGAAGGGCAGCACCACGTCCCCGCGCTGGTCGGGGTCGAACACGGGGTCTCCGCGTGGGACGTGGATGTTGAGGAACTCGGCGGGGCAGCCGGGTCTCTCCACACTCACCAGGTCCGAGAGCACGTGGTAGCCTGCTTACAACGTGGAAGGAGGGTGCTAGGACCGGCTGAGGGCCACTCCCGTCGAAAGACTCAGGAGCCATTACGGGCAAGTCCAAGCCTTGACCTCCCTGTCCCCACCCTTCCCAATCCTCTGTCTGCCCTGGCTGGTCTGTACCTACACCCTGGTCCAGGCTTTTGTTGGGTTGCAGGATTGGCCTTCTCCTGGGTAACTGGGAGGTGCCCAGTGAGTGTGCCTAGGCCAGCAGGCTGGCAGCACCAGCTCCAACATGCCCAGAGGCCTGGCAGCCTTAGTGGGATGTTGAGCACTGGGAGCAAGTATGGGCTTCCTGAATGGCCAGCAGGAGCCGGGCATCCCTGCTGGGCTAGCCACTGACCCTCAGCCACTGGGGTTATTCTACTGGCACCCCGTTTTGACCCCTCCTCATCTTTCTGCCAGCATCAGAACCCTGCCCTGAGCCAGTCCCAGGAACCACAGGGACAAAGAAGAACAGGGCCCCCATGAGAGGCCCTACCAGATTATTTTCGTGCCTCTACCCACCCCCATCAACCAGCCCAAGATGCAGTGATGCCCCCCCATTTCCTTCCCTCACCCCTCATCTTTTTTCTTCTGGGGCAGATTTATGCCTCTCCCAACTAGACTTCACCTCAGCCTGGATCCTCCCTCTCTCTGCTCCCCACGCCTACCCCTCCCCCATCACCTCCCCCTCCATCTCTCCCCAGTCATTTCTCAGACCCTCCATCACTCCTCTTCCTCACTCCCTGGCCACCCTCCTCAGGCACAGAGGTGTCCAGCCTACCCCACTGGCCTTCCTCCCCTAGAGGCTGAGGCCCTCACCGAAGAAGACCCCCAGCACTGTGCGGTTTTGTAGTGAGGCCTGCCCAGCAGGGCCCCTCATGGCAGTGTTGCTGATGTCTCGGGGGTTGGGAAGGTGGGGTTCTCCCAAGGGCCGGTAAACGCCATCTGCATAGCTGGCTGGAACCAGGCGCTGCAGCCTAGAGCCTAGTGGGAAGGATAGTACAAGGATGAATCTTCAGGGGGCTCCCTGACCTCCTCTCTCCCAGGCTTCTCTCCGTATCATAGGTCCTAGAACTTTGGAAATGGATGTGCCTTTGCTGGTACCTGCCAGTCCTTGTCCCTCAGCCATGAGTACCCACCCTGGCCTTGGGTCTCTGTCTCTGCTTGGTTCTCACCTACCTTTGCTACCCCATCTGTGCTCCATGAGGTTGTTGTACCATCCATCGAATCGCTGCACCTCCCATGAAATGGAGCTCTGGGACCCTGTGTGAGAAGGGAGAAGAGGGGGCAGCTGTGCAAATCAGTGTGTGAAAGAGCAGGTGGGCCCGCAGGAAACAGTCGTGTGAGCATGGTATTTAGAGATGGAGAGAGTGGGCACCCAGCACAGATGGGGGTAGGATGCAGAGGGGAGAACCAGGGCAAGTGAAGCCCAATGTTTAAGCTGCTCAGTCAGGGAGATGTGGCAGGATGCGTAAAGGAGCCAGGTGCATGTATGAAGACAAACAGCCCTAGAGAGGAAGAGGGGACTGGAGGAGAACGGTGGCAATGGGGAAGAGGATGCAAGAGCTGCCCCCTCCCCTCACACCTCCACTCCCTGGGCGACACAGCAGGACAGAAATCATTCCCAGCCCTAAGACACCATACCAGGCAAGAGCCAGCCCTACCCCACACCTGGGAGGGATATGTCGTTCTATGATCCATCCCTGGGCAGGGGCAGTGTGGGGTGGGGCCGGCCCTCTCTGGCTGAGCAGAGCCCAGGGCAAGGGTGTGGGCTTATGGGGCTGCAGCTTTGGGGCCTGTTGCTACCCTGGTCTTTTCCCCAGTTTCCTGGGTGGGGTCAGGGACTGAGCTTGCCATGTAGGTGATGTCACTCCTTCTCTCTTTGGGACATCATGCCCCCATATAATTCCTCCTTTTGACCCCACTGTACTCTCCAAAAACTAGGGTCTGTTGGGTGAAGAGCTCAGGTAGTGGGGTGGGGGTTTTGGTCAGTAGATCAGATGAGTAGCCACATTCCTTTCTCCATACTAGGAGGCAACAGGGCTGAGGCTCCCTTTGCTCATCTCAGAGAATAGAGCAAAGGAAAGGACTCTCACCAGCCAGAAGGAGACCAATCCTCTCATTGTTTCCCTACCACACCAAGGACAGGACCTTAGAGCTATCCACACTGCCCCCATACACTCACCTTAAGGTCATGGGGGGTGGGGGTGACTCAGGCCCTGATGTTTGAGCAAAGAACTCAGCGAAGGGTGCAGGAATTGGGGCAGGGACTAGGGCAGCCACATACATGTGACTCTAAAAAAAGATGAGCTGTGGCAGAACAAGGAGGGTGCCTCTTGAGGAGGGTGTGGGAGAGTGCCTCTTGGGCATAAGAGGAGCAAGACCTGGGGGAGGAAAGGAAAATCCAAGAGCAAGGCAGGGAGAGGTCTGGGAAGGAAGGTGGATGTGCACAGCTCGGGCAAGGAGAAGCTACAGGGTAGGGGCCATCTCACCATGCTGTTGCCTTCAACCAGGACAGGGGATTCCACAGGTTTTCTCTGCTTCCTGCTCTTGCGTCTCCCACCACCAATGATCAGGGACTTACTCTTTTTAACCTTGTGGCATCTTAAGCCCACTTCCCTCCTCAGAGACCCACACTACATAGAAAGGCTCCAGATTCTACTAAGGCACTGTCCGAAGCTGAAGGTAGCAAGATGAAACTCTTGTGGATCGTGTTGTTTTACAACATCAGAGACTTCCCATTAGCATTGGGTCCAATCTTACTCCGAGATGCTTTATTGTCTTATGTGTCTATTTAATCTTTTCCTCTTTTGGGTCAGGGACCCTTACTTTATGGAAAAATAGAGAAGATAGAGGAGAGAGAAAGCGTCCCCAAACCACGAGGAATGAAATAGGAATGCTCCCCAATTCTTTGGATTTGGGGAAAGTTTTTATTCCATTATCCACCCATCCATTCCACAAGCTTGAAATGAAAACCTACGATGTGCCAGACACTGTGTTATCTAAGGGCTAGGGATGCAGAGATTAATATGACACAGCTCCTGTCCTAGGGGAGCTCAGAGGATGATGGGTTCCTTTGTCCCAGCCATGTCTCTCCCTCAATCTGTACTCACCCACGGGAGCCCATGGTCCAACCAGGAGGGCCCATACCAGAGCCAGTCGGCAGCGCATGATGAAAATGATAATAGGGCCCAGGTGTTGGAACATCCCAAAATGGAGACCCTAGAAAAGGAGAGAGGATAGAGAGAATGAGCCCCTAGCTGTTCAGGAGAAATCAGGCCAAGGTCTTGGTAGTCCCCTGTGAATCAAGGCCTGAGACTGGGCCAAGGCCACAGTGGGTAGCAATGAGCAGGATGCTTACTCTCTCTCGAGATTCACTCATTCAGCAAATACTTAATGAGCACCCACTTATTACGTACCAGGTACTGATCTAGACACTGAGGATTAAGCAATGAACAAAATTCCTGTCTTCGTGGAATTTGCCTTCTAAGATTAATTTGAAAACCTTGCTTTGACCTAGCTTCCTGCAGAGGTGTTCCTTGGACAGAGCTTTGCTGGGGGCCAGAAGACTGGGCTGAGGTCTCAGCACTGCTGCCAGTTCACTGTGTGATCTTAGGTAAGTCGCTTATGCAGCCTGGATCTTGGCTTCCTCTTCTGGCTATAGGAGTAAGCATGGCGGCACTGCCTACCTCCCAGCATGGTTGCCAGAATCAATGTGAGAATGGAGTGGAATTCAAAGCAAAACCAGTGACAGGTGTTATGCAAATGTGATAGAGCGTGGTTGAGCCAGAGTCTGGCTCCTCCGGGTGGACTCAGGATGAATGGAGTATCAGGTGCCCATATGTCTGGTGCAGGCTCCTGCTCTGTCTCCCCAGGCCAGCAAACTACACAAGGACAACAGGGAAACAGAGGCAACAGGGGACTCGGGCTGGGACTCCTGGGCAGCACAAGGAGTGACTAAGGCCAGCAAAGACCTCCTAAAGGCAACCTGGAGATTAGGGGGCTCAGGGAAAGCCTCATCTCCATCCAAACCCTTAGGGCTCCTGCATAGGTTCTCGAATAACAGACAAGGGAACCCTGAGGGTGACCTCCTCCCCACTTCCCATCTCCCATGAAACAAATGAGGAAACCTAGGAACCTAGGCCCTGCCATAACTCAGAAAGCTCAGTATTCCTCTGCTTCATCCCTCAGAGCCTGTCCAGATGCTGGCCTTGGTGTGTGTGTGTGTGTCCTGGGCCTATGAGGAGGCCTGTGAGGAGCTGTGCCCTGAAGGGTTGGAGCTGTAAGGCTGGACATGCAGAAGTGGCCACAGTCGTCCTTCCCTGATGCAGGATGTCCTGCTCCTTCAGCCCTCGCCCCCTATGCCATGTCTTCAGGGTCCTGGGCACTAAACACCAGTGTAGCCCTCAACCCTGAAAGACAGGCGGTGGACTCTCTGGCCCGGTTGTGGGGACAACCTGAAGGGGAAGGTGAGTATGCTTAATAACCGCTCCTTGTGAGTGGGTGGCCCTTAACGATTTACACAGCAACATGGGCAGTATCTTCCCAACAACTTGAAAGAAAGGCACGGCCCAGGGCAGGGCGGCAAGGCCCCAGGCAGTGGCAGAGCCAGGGAGAAAACACAGACTCTTTTCTCACATGGCCACTTTCCCAGCCTGAAGTCCTAGAGTGGTGACTCTGGGGTGGTCGCAAGATGAATCAAGGCCATAGGGATACTAGCCTGGTCCCAAGGGAAGGCTGAACCCTAAAGGCCCAAAGTTCCCTCCCTGGCATGATGTGCTGGTTTCAGGAGGAGGCCCAGAGAGATTCCCTAAGCCCAGGCAAGGTAGGCTACCTAACAGCCCCAGGTCCGGAACAGCCCAGTCTCCCAAAACCTTGGTGGGGTGGAAGTCGGGCCCCCGGATCTCAGCCATTTGGGCCTTAGGCTAAGATCCTAGGCACAGCGGAGCTAGAATTCCCCTTCCCTCGGAAACGTGGTGGAGCTGGGGCTCGCTCCGCCGCGGCCCTGCGCTCAGAGCGCCCTCCCCGGGAGCGCCCAGACCCACCGCCAGAGAAGCCCTTGGATCTGACCTGCGGCCACGGCATCCCGGGAGCTCCGGGCTGCGGATTGGTTCTCGCCGGGCTCGCAGCCGAGCTCTCGACGCGCGCTCCCTTGCGGCTCCCACGCCAGCTCTGCGCCGGGGCGGGCGGGCCCGGGGGTGAAGAAAGACCGCGGGCCCGGCTCAGAGGCGGAGCGGGGCGGGGCTAGGTGGGGCGGGAGAGGGGCTGGCGCGCCGAGGAGGGGCCCGGGGCGCGCAAGGTGAGACGGTGCGGGTTCCTGGGGCTCAGGTGTGGGGGGACGTCTAGTCCGTGCCAAGCGGTGGGCTAATGCGGCCACGTGGGTGGCGAAAAGGGCAAGTTGCCTCTACTGGTCTGGTGGTGGTGGTGGTGGTGGGGTGTCCGGTAGAAGGGGAGGTTGAAGAGGGAGTCTCTCCCCAAATCCTCTCCACACTGTCGCCTCTGGGCTCTAGCACCGAGAGAGTCGGTCAACGCCCGCAGGCCTGGCCAGGCGTCAAAGCAAGACAACTGTTCTGAGACCTTCTAAGGGTCGAGATTACTGCCCTCCCGGAGCTCCCCGGGACATCTCAGGCTCCCACCGCCTTACGAGCCACGCCCGCGTGCGCTGGATCGCGGACTGCAACGCTAGGTTTGCTCTGGAGCCACCCGTGGGAGGGGTACTGGGCCCGGGGTGTGGCGAAGCAGGTTTGGAGGGACGGCGGCAGAGGGAGTAGGCACGGGGCGGGGCGGTACCACACTCGCCCCTTCTGTGTCCGAGGCCTGGGGTGGAGGTGGCGGCGGCGAGAGGAGGGAGGGGGCAGCAGCTCCTCAGAGCCTTGGGGGCGATCCGAGAAGGCTGAGGACTTCGAGTGGGAGGACTGGGAAGTACCCTGAACGCGGTTTGTCGGGTCACAGCCTGTGAGTTAAGAGAGGAAGGAGTGCGAGTTGGGAAGGGTCCCACCGAGAGAAAGGGCGCGAGCTTTTGTTGCCAGAACGTCGGGATCCAATTCCTCCCCACTCCCATCCCCCGGAGCGCGGCGTGTGAGGTTGCACCAGAAAGAGGCGAACGGCTGCCACGAACGCTTTGCTTCGAAAAGGCGAAGGTAAGAAACAGCGGTCCGGGTGTAGGTGGCTGCGGGGTGTGCCTGCGGGGTCCAAGCGGTCAGAGCTGGTCTGGAGCCGGCCTTGAAGTGCCACCCCCACCCTGGCCCCTAGGGGCGCACTTCCTGAGTCCACCTAGACCAAGCTCAGATCAGCTGGTGGTTCTCCAAACAGAAAGTTTGGTAAGAAACTAAGAGGAGGCAGGGAAAGCTCATAAGGCTATAAATGCCACACGGTCTACACGCAGAGAATTTTTATCTCGGCTCAACTGGATTCTGGATAGTTTGGCTTACCTGATTCAGCACCCCTGAGCTCCTTACCCACCTCAGCACTTACTGGGGAATCCTGCCCCAACTCACTTTTCAGATTCCTTTGTTTCTCCACCTAACTCCTCCTTTGCTGAATCAACATACACACGCACACCCGCACGCACACCTTCCTTGGAGAGGACAGTCTTGGACAGGAGTTTCTCCCAGGGTTCTACCAGCCAGCTAGAGCTATAAGCTTTTCATGGAGTCAGCCCCTACCGGAGAAATAAATCACCTTCTAGTAGCTGTGCTTCACCAATTAGAGTTCTTGGTGACTCCGGACATGTCACCCCTCCCCCACCTCTTTGTAGAGAATTGGTAGTCTTTATTCTGTGTGTTCTGGTAGATGGGTGAGATAGGCAGGGAGAGACTTCTGGAAGAAGATACCATCAAGCTACGAGAGAGGTCATCGGGCACTAACCAAGCCCTTAACTAACTTTGAATGCTGAAGACTGGAGTTGTACTAGGCTGAGTTTTCTTAAAGATTGTAACTATATCTCTTGCCCACCCCTCATACTTACAAGGGAACCCGACTTCATCCTGGGGTAACTGGGGATTAGTTAACTGTGTCTGAAATACATCTGGGAATGAGAAAAGGCTTCAGTATTTGAAATCTTCCACCGGCCAGGTGAGAAAGAAGGACCCTGAAGTGTGGGGATTGGTCCAACCCAGTGAGAAATCACCACCATTTTGTCACAGCGTCCTCTGATGGAGTGTTCTAGGTGTCTCTGTTACGGAGAATGAGGGAATCTGTGTCTCTGTGTTTTTAGGAGCTTATATGTATGTGTCTGATTGTATCTTAGAAAAGTCTGCATATTTATACAAATGTACATTGTGTATATATGCAAATCATGGTGGTCAGCTAGGGGACAAGTGGGCCTAGTGAACGCTGACATGGGATTGTCTGAGATCAGAAGACATTCTACTGTCAGACTCTACTTGTCAAGCCAGGGAGGAAGGTGTTCCAGAGGAAAACACGAGCTTTGTAGGAAAAGCCAGATTGCTGTGTGTGGAAACGTTTCATTTCAGTCCCACCTCTTCATGCAGGAGGCCTGATAGTTTAGTAATGAAAACCAAACTCGAATCAGAGTCATGGAAAATTAACTTTAAATTAGGCAGTGTCGATTAAGGAAAACCTAAGTTATTAAACTGGACAAGAAAAAATTAGGAAATGTAAACTTTATTCACAGGCTGTCTTTCTTTTTTTTAATTGTTGTAAAAATCACCAACTGTCTTTTTGCTTAGTCATCTTTAATAAATATTTTGGAGAATTAAAAATAAGTTAATGTTGTTCTTCTATGCTTAAGATACGGAAAGCTTTTGTTAGTGTTTCTTTGAAGCACCATGTTAATAGAGATGAGTCATTCTTATAAAAATATTTTAT